AATTATAAACTCTTGTTAGACAATTCTTTTAAACCATAATCATAGTAGTTTTTTTTGTCGTTTCTATGGCAACCTGTAAAAATGAATCACAACAATAGGCATATAAATAAATTTTTAAATCAGCAAAAATTGATTCATATTTTTAATGATTTTTACATACTAATCGTGGATAGATGTTTTTGTGCGATGTTAAGAGGAAAAAAATGTTTCCTTTTAACGATATATATCAAGATATATTTGAATGTTATTTTCTGGAAAACTTTAAGGGCAAACAAAATTAGCGTTGTCATGCTTTATGTGGCTTTAAAATAAAATAATTTTTTTAAGCTACTTTGCTCAGAATTGAGATTGTCACTGGTGCCATTTGGTAAAGTACAATGTTTTTACATGCATTTGGGGTATATTTCATTTCGTTATCAGATTACGGTAAAAATTTGCAGTGGGCTCTTGGGCTATAACTTATCTGCATTGGAACACAAATTATTTCATCAATAATATGGCATTATTAGGATTAAAGATATAAAGGGCCCAAATATTAGCTTTAAATTGACACGCTATAAGGGTAAATATCCGAAATATGTTTACACAGGCGAGTTAAAGGGGGAAAGGGTCAAATAATGTTATCTAGGGGCTCAGTGCAAAGAGGTGAAATATGTTTATTTAGACTTAAGGTTTAAAGAGTCCAAATAGTTTTATATGCGTAAACTTAAGGGGTAAAGGGTCCAAACGTTTTAATATGTTAATAACCCAAATGTTTTTATATATAAAATCATAAGTAAAATCAAAATATTTCAAGGGATAAAGGGACCAAATATTTTTACATGGACAGGCCTAAGGTATAAATACATGGGCAGCCGTAAGGGTTAAAAGGACCAAATATTTTTGCATGTACAGGTACAAGATGAAAAGAAGCTAAATATTTTTACTTAGGGAGGCTTATGGAATGGAGACCGAATATTTTTGATGTGTAAGCTGGAGAGTAAAGGAGACAAATATTTTAACATGAGAAGGGGTAAAAGAACCAAATATTTTTACAAGGGTCAGGGCAAAGGGACCAAATATTTTTACACGGATAGGTTTAAGAGATGAAAGGCTCAAATATTTTTACATAAGCAGGCTTGAAGGGACAGAGGTCGAAAATATTTTTACATAAACATACTTATTCTTGACCAAGAGAACAGGAGTACTGAGGCACTAATTTCTAGGGCCTCAAAAAACAAACTGGTCTCTTGCAAACTCAATAGTAAACAGAACAAAACTTGTGTGGGCGATAAATTCCTTTCAACCATACAAAACAGCTGGACCTGATGGTATAATCCCGGAACTTCTACAAAAGGGCCAGGAAGTACTGGAGGGACCACTGTGTAAACTATTCCGAGCTAGGATAGCCCTCGGATATGTTCCACAAAGCTGGAGGTGTGCAAGAGTGGTTTTCATTCCCAAACCCGGGAAAGCGTCATACGAGGAGACCAAATCTTTCAGACCAATCAGCCTAACGTCATTTATCTTAAAAACATTGGAGAAATTGATCGATAGATATATACGGGACGATGTTCTACGGGATAAACCGATACATCGATACCAGTTTGCCTACCAATCTGGAAAGTCTTCCGATGCAGTCATACATAGGCTAACTCAACGGGCTGAACAAGCATTGGAAAGCAAAGAAATAGCACTAGGAGTCTTCCTAGATATAGAAGGAGCCTTTGACTCGGCTTCATACAATTCAATACTGGGATCTATGCAAAGGCGTGGAGTAGCCCACTGCATTACGAGGTGGGTAGAGTTCATGCTTAATCATAGAACCATTACCAGTAATCTCCTTAACACAACAAGAGAGGTCTCAGTTAACAAGGGATGCCCGCAGGGAGGAGTGTTATCTCCTCTTATGTGGACCTTGGTGGTTGATGACCTCTTATGGGAGTTAGAGAGAGAAAACTTATACACGCAAGCATTTGCAGACGACATAAGCATCGTAGTAAACGGTAAATTTGGGACTGTTGTATCCGAAAGGATGAATCGGGCCCTAAATATCGTCGAAAGATGGTGCCTGTTGTTGCATTCACAAGAAAAAGGAACCTTCCAGGAATGAAGGAGCTTTATATGTGGGGACATCATCTAAAAATGGCAAAGGAGGTTAAATATCTTGGAATCACTCTCGATGACAAGCTTAGCTTCTGCAGCCATATAGAAAAAACAACAGAAAAGGCTGTAAGAATACTATGGCCCTCTAGACGGATGGTAGGGAACGCATGGGGGCTTAAACCAAGTATGATGCACTGGCTTTACACTATGGTTGTAGTACCAGTTATAACTTACTCATCAGTCATATGGTGGCACAAGACTAAAAGCATAACAGCTAACAGAAAATTAGACAAGGTACAAAGACTAGCCTGTCTAATAATAACAGGGGCATTTAGAACTACGCCCACAGCAGCAATGGAGCTACTGCTAGGTCTTCCTCCACTACACCTTGTGGTGGAGAAGGAGGCTATGGCGGCGGCATACAGGCTGTTTACTAATGGATTTGAATGGGAACTTTCGAGAAAAGGACACCACACAATGATATTAGAGAAATTAAAACAAAATCCCGTACTAAGAATGCCATCGGATAAAACGCCCATTATTCACGACTTCAGGAAACCTTTTGATATTCAAATACCAGAAAGGGCCAAAAGCCGGGAAAAAAGGAAAAAACAAAACTAACCAATCTGGTATACAGACGGTTCGAAAATGAAAAACAGCACAGGAGCTGGGATCTACCATGTGAACTCAGGGATGACAGTTTGAACCTGGGGTCACTGACAACAGTCTTCCAGGCTGAAGTGACAGCAATAAATGCCTGCGCCAAAGTCATGCTAAATGACTCTCTTAGAGATAAGAGAATCGTTATCATGACAGACTATCAGGCAGCCCTTAAAGCACTAAAAAGGGTAGAAGTACAATCTAAATCAATATTTGATTGCCAACAGTCCCTCCAGGCTTTGGCAGAACATAACAAGGTCACCCTTGAATGGGTGCCAGGACATAAGGGAGTGTTTGGAAACGAGAAAGCAGACCTCCTAGCAAGGAAGGGAGCGGAAAAAACTCTTATTGGACCAGAACCCACATGTGGTATCTCATACCAACATGTTAAATGGGTGTTAAAGGAATAAATAAAAAGAGAACACCATAGGCTCTGGATGGAACTTCCTGGACTTAGACAGTCCAAAAGATTCATAGAGGGGCCATACGAGCAGACAACATCAACTGCTAAACCTTAGCAAAAGCGAACTCAAGACCATAATAGGACTCCTTACGGGACACTGCGGCCTTAGAAGACACCTAAATCTCTTAGGGATATCTGATGACTCCCTATGTAGAATATGTGAAGAGGAGGACGAAACTCCTATTCACATACTATGCCACTGCCGAAACCTTAAATGGGAACGGGAATGGTACTTCGGGGTACAATATCCGAAACCTGAAGAAATCGCGAAAGCGCCCATCAGACATATTCTTGAATTCATCAAGAAAATCAATCTGATGGGATAGAAACTGTGAGGGGTACAATAAGCCTAGAGCTTCAGTACAAGTGGGCTTTGAACCACGCCCTAATTCAGATGATGATGATGATGAACTCAGTGGTATTTATTGTTGAATAGTTATTTCCAAACTTAAACAAATTTAACAATAAACGTTTAAGTTTCTCTGCGTTTTGTTTTTCTAAGCTTTTTCATCCGATTATTGATAGACATAATATAAATTCCTTTTAATAAAGAAAACATTTTTTTTCTTATCGAATTTCTACCAAAATTCAATATTAAACGACTGCAAATAAAGACAGTATCTGTCCAAAAGTAGACTACTGCTAAATTGTTCACATCATGAAAACAAATCTTGGAACGTATACCATTACATTCAATTTAAAAGTTACGTTGCGTACACCTTTTAACGTTATCAGTGCTGTAAATTACAATTTGAAGTTTTTTCATTCTACATTTTTCTCCAGTATCTATCAGACTGTTGAATTATAAATTTATTCCAAAAAGAACTATCAAAATCAATAAATAATATAATTTATTCTAGAGCTAGATGTTTGGTAAGTTTCTTTTTAAAACAATAAGCTCCATCGTGGCATTTTTTTTTAACACGAAAATAACAATTTCTTACGGCTACATACTATTATTTGCCTCTACAGGATGACGGTGTTTCGAATGAATATCACCAATTTCGCCAATAACAATCTTAAACAATTATTTTAACGAATTTACCGAATTAACACAAGAAAAAAAACATTCGCCAATATGGCCAATAACAATCAATCAACTGATAAATTTACTGAATGAATAATCTTGGAAATACAGAAATAGTCAACCCCCAGGTACTTCCGTGGTACTTTTAGTGAGCGAATCCCACGTCTGTTAGATTTTATTAGTTATCAAGTCAAATAATTATTTAGTTACCAAGTGATTACCGATAGAACACAATGCCTGAGAATCAGCCTACAGCCACAGCTGACCACACTAGACACTCAAGGCGACTCAAATCGTTCTGCTTGAGGAAGCATCGACAACGAACCGCTACCACCGCATTAGTTCCCCGCACTCCCCGTTTTTGACTACCTATGTTCTCTCCAATACTACAATTAGTGTGTGTTTTGTATGATGGCCTTGATCTTAGATCAATTGGCTAGGGCTAATGTTGTTAAAACGAATCTAAACCTACTTACAATTTTCACATAAAATCTATAAGTACAAAATTTCATCATATTAACAATTAAACAAGAGTTAAAACAGTTGTGTTACACTTAATTATGCATAATTATGTTTTAGGCGACGAATTCCATTTTTTTTGTATATATATTTCTTTCTTTCTTTTGTTTTTGTTTCTTTTTTTTTGTTTTTTGCTTTGTTTTTAGTAATCAGTACAAAAATTTGTTTACCTGCTAACATGCGGGTAATTTTTTAAAAGTATTTTGTGAATACAGGTGCAAATAAGTTATTAACAAACACATTTATTTAAATATATCGTATATTTATTTACTCTATATATTATTAATAATAATAATAACGTTTCTATATATAAAATGTTTACTGAAACTTAATATCATAACCATTTTAAGTCTGAAACTAAAGCTATATGATCGGAAGGAAAAACTACACTAGGTAATGCAGTATTAGCAATAACTTCTTCATGAGTTGGTAATGGTACTATTTGGGACACCTCGAAATGGTCCTTTTGGTAATAAATATAATCCAAACAGTCTGCAAATCCAACAGTGTAGTTTGTGTACTTGGGAGTTCCGCAAGCACTAGCTAGTTTAAACTCTTGTTTTAGTTCTAAATCTTGCACGATTTCGTCTGTATCTACAATTTAAAAAAGAATATCTAAAATTGTTCTAGTTCGAATAGGAATTTTAATTTAAAGTGTAGGTTTTTTTAAAATCGAAAACAGGCAGGAGGCAAGTGAAAGACTCAGAAAGGAAATGGAGACAAAATAGGAGACAGAAGAGGAGACAGAGGAGAGCTGTCAGTGAAAGATGCAGAACAATCAGAAAGAAAATGGGAACAAAGTAGGAGTAGAACAGGAGAGAAAGTTGGAGAAGAGAACATGAATCACTGGAATCAGAGGAAAATAATGCAAGAGTTGGAACCGGAACCACAGGAAACTGGAAGAATTTTAGTTATTTAGACCATATAGTTGAAAATTATTTAGTTATTATTATTTGGTACCTATTTGAAATTTTGCAGGGAGCCACGGTCTAAAAGGTTTTCGATATTGAAAATATTATTTTAGAATTAACTTTGGCTTTCGCATTAATACTTACTGCTTTGATAGTCAACAAAATCTTTTGGTACCTCTCCTTCTGTATATAATTTGTATATTCCACAGCTTGGCACGCTATTAAAGTCGCCACAAAAAATTAAAGAAACCCTCTTTGACGTCTAAAAAAAATTGTTACATGGTATATTTAAGGGCCCTATTCAGTAATTTAACGTTTATGGACGACAGTTCAACCAACGAATTTTATAGCGATAATTGAAACTCTATTCAATAACAAATTCGTTACGTTGTTTCTAGTTACCAAATCTGAACGATGATTTCTAGTAAGTTGCTATTATAATTTAGTGTTTTGTGATAAAAGAACGTATGTTGATGATTATACAGGGTGTTTAAATTAAAGTTTTACAGTTAAATATCGCCAAAAATATGCATTTTATAAAAAAAGAAGTATCAGATAAAAGTTTTATAGTTTTTTAGGGGAAACATTTTGGCTAAATTAATTTTTTTAAAGCTGACCATAATATGGCCATATCGAGGTGGATATTTTTTCAAATTGGAACCCTATTTTTTTACATAGGTATTCTTAGAGTTCATAAAAAAATAAGGAACTTCTAAAGGAAACATTTTTTTATTGGATTTCTACTTATTGCGTAACATCTACTTGAAAATTTTGCTTCGCGAAAAAAAGTTGGCCATATTATGGTTTGCTATAAAAAAACAATTTTAGCCAAAATGTTTTACCCAAAAAACTATAAAACTTTGTTTCTTTTTTTTATAAAAGGCGGTATTTAACTGTAACCCTTTAATTTGAACACCCGGTATATTTGAAATTTTTTTGGAACGTAAAATAAAAATTCTACCAGTAGATATATTATATATTTGTTTTTCAGAATATATTAATTATTGTTCTTAACCTACAACACGATCAGGGGGTCGATTCTCGATTCGTAGGAATTCTGTTTCACAGCTTATACAATACAGCTAAAACACTCTCTTGGCGGTAACGGTTTGCGTCGATTCCGTCGCGTATTGCTTAAGCTCCTCCTTCGGACGGAAAAGACGGCTTTGGCATTCAGAATCGTACCTAGGTAAGGATTGAGCCGTGCGTATAATTTTGTTGATTGCATAATTTCATTGAGCCTATAATTTCGTTGATTTTGTTTGAGCTGCCTGTTGTGTTAAGTTAAAGGTACTGTTATTATTTTGGTGACTCTTTAACTGTGAGTAGAATGAGTGAAAAAAAAGACATCATTCTGTCTGTGCAGTTAAAAGCTGTTTTAATAAGGGTTATACCTGCAAGAAAACATTCTTTCGTTTTCCCAAGGACCCAAACCGGTAAGTACCACATTCTAAGAAATTTTCATTATAATATAATTTATACAGGATGTCCCATTAGTGCGTAATTGTTCAATATTTGAATTTGTGTTGTAAACACGCAAAAAAAGTTTTAAATAAAAATTATATGGATTTGAAAAATACATATTTTAAAAATATTTTTGAATATTGAATTGGCAAATCAAAATGTATGTTTTTTAAATGGAACACCCTGTATTTTATTTTATTTTTAGAATGGTTTGGTAACACCGCAATTTAACCCTAAAATGTATTAAAAAATATTAGTGTTGCCAAGCAATTCATTTTTTTTTAAATTAGAGAATGATGCAGACCCCAAATTAAATTATCATAATTTAGGTAGGTTTACATTGATTTCAAAATTCTTTAATATATAGACTCATAAAATACTAAGCTAACGAATAGTGGTGATAGAACTGGTTTATTTTATACAGAGTGTTTTAAAACATGTTTAAATATGGCTAATTTTAAATTCAATTTACTCAATTTTTTCAAACAAAACACCCTGTATATTATTTTGGCCTAAAATTCCTTATAAATTTGCTTATTTATCTATAGCAAAATATTAGCCAATAACACATAAACTTTGTATCCCATGAGTGCGTAATTGATCGATAGCTGTTTTATTAATGGAAATACGAAAAAAAAATTATATAAATTTGTATGACCATGTTTAATAAATATTCTTAAATATACAGGGTGTTCCATAAACGAGGGGAGTTGATAAACGTATACATTTTTAAGGCAAAACACCTTGCAGGTAATCATACATATTTGATAGTTTTCACATCGTCAAACCATTTTAATAGACTTCATTTATTTGCTATAGGGTGTGTCAAAATGGGGAGTAACGGTTTTTTCACGTTTTTAAATGGAATACCCTATAAATTATACCACCGACTAATTGATACAGGGTAATCCATTTAAAAAATAGAGAAAATCGTAACCTCACGATTTGACACACCCTATATACAACATAGCAAATGAGTGAAGTTAATTAAAATTGTTTGACGATGTGATAACAATCAAATATGAATAACTACCTGTAGGGTGTTTTGCTGTAAAAAAGTATAGGTTTGGTCAGCACCTCGTTTATAGGCCGCCTTGTATATTTAGAAGTAATTGTTAAATATGGCAATACAACTTTTATATTAATTTTTTTTTGTATTTCTAGTAATAAAACAGCTATCAATCCATTACGCACTAATGTGTTATTGGCTAACATGTTGGTATCGTTAAATAGGTAAATGTATTAGGAATTTTATGTCAAAATAATATACATTTAAAAAAAATTAAATAAATTGGATTTAAAATTAGCCATATTTAAGGCACGTTTCAAAACACTTTGAATAAAATAAACCAGTTCTATCACCACTATTCGTTAGCTTAGTATCATATAAGTATGTATATTTAACAATTTTTAAATCGGTGTAAAGCTATCTAAATTATGATAATTTAATTTGGGGTTAGCATCATTTTCTAATTTAATAGGTGATAATAGGTGATAGGGTGTTCTATTAAAAAAAAACAAATTTTTATTTGCCAGGCAAAAAACGTCTATAACACAAATTAAAATATGGAACAATTACGCCCAGTATAAACAGATTCGTTTATTGACTTACGTTAGGTTTAGGCTGTTTTTATTTTTATTAATTCCTCCTAGGTGCTAAAGTTACCTATTGAGCTAGGAATTCTAAATTTGTTTAATTGTGTAGATGATAGTCTAATAATTAACTTATTTAAACCTAAACACATAATTTTTTTCAGGGCTAGGATATGGGCAATGAAAGCCAATCGGGAAGACCTTTTGGAGAAATTGGACGATCTATATAAAAGTTACAAGCTGTGTGAATGTCATTTAATTACGAGTATTAAAACTAAAATCCTAAAAGCGTCGATGAAGATGAGGACAGAGCATCTGCCTTCCACGAAAAAAGCCCGGGATCGAATCTAGGCCGGGGACTAATTAAATTAATTTTTTTTTATGTTTATTTTATAAATTAGTAAAATTCGCAAATTATTTTAAAATTAGTTATTTTGTCTAAATTACCTAAAATAATTTATTTTAATTTGTAGATTTTCGTCAGTGGGTCGTAGAAAAAATATACTGTACAACTCGAGTGGGTTGTCCATATCCACTCTTGTTGCACAAACTACTAATTATTTGTTTCCTTGGTTTAATGTTTACATCAGTAAATAGGAACTAAATTAATTTACTTTTCGAGTTTTCTTGTAAAAACCGATATTACTTTCTCCAAGTACAAATTTAGTACCTACCTAAAATAGATACTAATTATATAATTTCGCATAATATTGTAATCTAAATTTCACATTACTATCAAGTTTCAAAATTCTCTACTTCGGTACGGTCAGATAAAAATATAATATATAAATAAAAACTGTCAAATTATTACTTCTACAAATCTTTATGAATAAAAATACATCTAAATAAAACCGATATTGTTAAAATAAAAGTTACCGATTCTTTATAATAACCCAGAATATCATCGAGTTCCCAGACCTCAGTCAGTCGAAGCAGTCGTTTATCTAGATATAAACACTATAAACCCTTTGCGCGATGAATGACACTTGCTAGACACACGGGGTACCAGTGGATTTGCATCCACGGCCACAATTTGTCGTGAAGTGACTGTTTTAGCTCAAAACATCTGTTAACAAGGATATTACTAGCCACATACAAATTATTTTATCTCTTATCCGAAAGATGTGCTATTATTCGTAATATTTATATTTAAATAGTTTTTTTATTTATATTTGATAGATTTAAAACAAATTTAAAACTTAATTTCTCAAAACTTACTTAATGTGGCATATAACCAACCTTATTACGCCAAGGTCTTCAATTATTTCAATAATATATATATTTTTTAATCCGGGCCCGACTTTTCCGTCGAATCTAACAGAGATAGCACCATTCCGTCTCGCTTGGTTCTCGACCGCCACATCATAGACGCCGACACGGAGTTGTGGAGCTGTATTGTATAAGCTGTGTCTGTTTCTCGCGGGCCATTTTTGCTGGCCGTATTGTATGTAGGGTTTATTTAAATGAGTATGGATATATTAAAAAAAACTGAGAACTATTCCAAAAGAATACAAAAAAAAACAATTCGAGAACAGTACAAGTTGTATTTATTGGATTTGAAAGACGAACCAAATTTGTGTAGGTTACGGAGAAGTATTATAGGTACTTCCATAATATAGGTTTTGTTACTGTTTCGCAGTGCTACTTTAGGAATATCACTGTTAATAAGAATCCAATAGTAAATGGTTGAATGGGCAATCCTAACTTTAAATCAGATTTATTTTAAAAATAATTAAATAAATTAGAAAAAAAATCCTTACAAATTGTACTTGCTGTATTAGGTATATGGCAATTTAGTTGTAAAATTTGTAAAAAAGTGCTTTTATTATTTATAACACATCCTGATTCACAATAAAAAAAATGAAGGGGAATGCCAAAATCACTATAACGACACTTCATATTATTAACGACAGCTCTTTGGATATCGTTGATGAACTACAATTTTACAACCATATTTGTCTATTTTCAACGACAATCGTTGTCTACTGAATAAGAAAAGTCGTATGTGAACGATTATCGTCTATTAACGACGTCGTTCAGAGTTACTGAATAGACCCCTAAGTTTTTGTTCATTTATTATAACTGTCACAAAGATATTTTTGTAAAATATAAGTAGAAATTTAAAATTTAATATATATACCTCAAATTTTCTACGCCGTGCGTTCACGTGAACGTAAATATATACGGAGGACATTCGAAAAGTTA